TCGACCAAATACTGCTCGTAAAATTTAATACCCGTGAAATCGACGTCGTTTCATCAACTTCCCGTGTTGAAAATGTATTCGAGCAGCAGACCAGATAGGATTCACGTTGCCCGCAGTCTCCCGGTCGCGGATCCGACGCAACGATCAATGAAAAGTACTTTCTTCTCGACTCTTAGCCTCATTGTTCCCCCGCCGGAGGCGGCGGTTACGCGGACCCGTTTTCCGGTGCGTTTTCACGACACGCGAAAGTAGCTCGGCTCGGGCGACCGTAACGGCGGCCGCTTTAAGCCGGCCGATGGACGACGATGATGCAACGAAGACGCCGGCGAGATTACACGACCACTTTCTCCCATTCCGAGGAAGCGCGTAATATTGTTCGGGATTAGAGCCGGCCGCCTCTGACGGGGATAAACCGCCATTAACCGGTTAACTGTGGGAGCTTCAAAAATCTCCCGGGGCGTGCGATGAAGTCAACCGATGACGACCGTGCGCCTGGAACGCGGGACAAATGCACTTGACCTTTCGCGCGCGGGGATTTTCGAAAATATTCGAAACCTTCGACGGGACGAGATAAATTATGCATCGAAATCCTGCGGGCGGGGAGAGAGACAGCTGTGAATCGATCTTTTGTTAGTCGAATAATGAGATTATACGTTGGTAACGAATATGGATGTTCGGTGTGATCGAAATACTGTCGTTGAAGAGTCAATGGGTATTAATATAAACTGAAATGAAAGGAACTCGTGCTCATTTGACGAAGTAAGCGATTTATTGTTGAAGTTTGTTATATTAGAATTATATGGAATTGCCATATTTAACCGTTTGAGTGCTGAGGAGCGCTGTAGCGCTCTTTTGTGCCAAAATTGAGAGCGCGGAGGTGCTTCTGTTTATCAGTATCAATTACAATTTCCTTACTATGCTTTTCAAGAAATAAATCAAAGTAAATTTATTTGAATAAATGTTATTTTTTGATATTTTCTTGTAATAACACAATATTTGCGATCTCGTTAGATAAGTACTGTTATTAACTTTTTTGCATACACACCGAATCACTTTGGTAAATATCCACAAAAGTAGCTTAGCATCCAAACGGTTAAATGACTGTCGTTAAAGGGTCAGTAGGTATTAATATAAACTAAAGCGAAATAAAAGGAACTCATTTGACGAAGTAAGCGATTCATCGTTGAAGTTTCTTATATTAGAATTATACGGAATTAGCGTTATTTAAATGACGAGTGTACTCGTCAAACACAGTTAACCGGTTAATGGACGAGTGTTTCGCGAGCGAGATAGCAAACAGCCGTAACGGCGCGTTGCGTTCGCGTTCGAAGCGAAGGGCAGGCGTGCGTCTTGCCGACTCCTTCGTAGCGGCAAATTAAATTCGAGGTTTCTCGAGCGCGTTTCCGGTTCCGCGGGAACCGACGAACGTACCCGGCACCGCGCGCGTTCGGTTCTATGCTGATTAATCGCGCTCGTTGCGACGCGACTCGTCTAATCGAGTTCGGCTCGAACGGAGACGTAAAAATCGTCGTGAATCTTCTCCTTTGGAACGTTCAACGCTGCTACAATTGAGTGTAGTCGCCAGAATTCTTAACCGAGCGAATCGACAATGGAATCCACGATTTTCAGACGTTTTACGAAATAGGTCTTGAAAATTGCAGCTTTAACCCTTTGCACTCAAAAAGTGTTTCACTAGAAGTACTCTAGAAATACACAGTAAAGAGCAAAGTTTTTTTATATTTCACATATCGATCCATTGTACGAAGCTCAATATTAAATATTCAATATTCAATTTTATACTATATTAAATCAAGTGGTCACTGCGAGTGGCAATTGTGCGAAAGGTCAATAACAGAATTTGGATATTCAATAATCGCGTCGATAGAAATTAATCGAAGCTTGCATCGAGTAAAGTTCATATCATCCGTCAAACTGGATATCCTTAATTCGTAAAAATTAATCGAACAAATTTTCAAATTGTCAACTAACCGTATGACGCGAATCGTTCCGCGATTTTTAACTCTTTGCCTTACATACTTAGCTTCGTTGCAGTTTCATAGACACAATTGTAGAGAAAATTGTGTTACAAAATTAAGAAAATTATTTTGCTCGCGATACGGCAGATTTGTAAAACAATCATTTCCACTGAAGGGGTTAGTCATGCATCTCTATAATTCCTCCCGACCGAAAAGCCCGAAAGAGAATTTTCCACCGGTTCCTGCTAATCTCGAGCATAACCGAACCCGACCGGATCCAGGATGTGCCAGTGTCCGGTATTCGCGGCCGGAAGCGTACCGTGGCGAACGGATACGAGCGAGTCACGGGTGGTGTTCGCGCGAGTTACGTCACGAGGTCGACGGAAGTGACCAGCTGGAAAAATTGGAGCGACCTCGGCGCCGGTAACAGCCGCGTTTTATTTTCCCTCCGCTCTTTCTTCCTCCTCCCGCGAATCCTTGTCGTTCGTGTCCCGTTTCTCGTCTTCGAGCGTGCGACCGGCGAGGGAAGCGACTACGAGACCTGACACGCGTCGTCGGTTCGTTCAGGATTCGTTTCTCGTCAGTCGTGTTCGATGAAGGAGGACAGAGCGAGATCGAGTTGGGATTCACGGCGTGAACACGCGCGTTACGAACAATCGACGCGTCGACGTCGATGTAAGCTCTTCGCTTATTTGGTAGTGAAATTTGAGCCTTTGCACTCCGAGCAATTTTTCATACGACCTTCCAGCAACTCCGAATCATTTTCATTCCTTCGAATCGCAAGCTCGATCGTTACGCCGTCGAAGAGTGCTTGTCGGTTCGTAGAATAGGTGAAGCTGACTTATTTCTTCTAATTATTCATCTCGATTTTATTATCCGCTTACAACTGGAACAATATGATGATCGCACTATTTCAAATTTGCTTTCGCAAGAATAGAAAAGTGTAGTTCAGTTGAATTGAAATGAGTTTTTGCAAAACCGGTGGGACATAGCAGGTTATTATGAACTACCAGCTACTTAGGAGTGTTTACAATAATAATAAGTTACAAATTTATCTTAGAATGTCGCAATAGCGACAACGGAGGGTTAATTTTTCTAGAATTATTGAATGTATCGATAAGTAAACGAATTTTTCACGGCGATTCTCGCTATCCGCCAAAGCAGTTCACTTAATTTACCGATTGGATAATCAGGTGGTGGTAATTACACAGCGTCAACGTGTTAAGTAACGTTTGATCGAGTCGAGAACGCAACGAGACCTGACACTGTGTGTCGAGCCTAATGCTCCTGATTCTCAGCATCGAGAACGATTCGAAGTTGATTCCTGCGTTGCCCCCTCTGTCGACTGTCTATTAATCGCAGCTGTCGCGGTAGTTAACCTTTAATTCGATACGAGGAATTCGGTTCGTCATCGAGGTAGATTTCCGAGAGGGGCAGAATCAGCGCTGATTGCAACTGTGGCGCAGCATCGGAATGGGGAACTTCATTCCGCAAGCGGACTTCTCGAAATCAGGCATTTCCGGAAGCCGCCGGCAGATAAACGGCCGTTTCTCACCGTTATCGGCCGTCACCGCGTTCCGCAATCCTCGAAGTTCATGGTAAAGCTACGCTCGGCCCCTTTTATCGCGAACTCGCGGTTTCTCTGTGCATATTAATCAACGTCGCGCAGTTTGCGGCAAGTTTTCAGAATATTTCCTGACTGCCTCAGTAATTTAAGAATCTTCAGGACCGATCAGAAATTAGCTGTGTCAATCTTTCGTTAAATTCCAGAGAGTTAGCTTCTCGTTAAGTTTGGAAGAGTTGCATGAATCTTTCGTTAGATTTAAAAAAGTTTTGTCAATCTCTGGTCCAATTCGAAAGAGTTACGTTAGTTTTTCGTCAAGTTTGAAAGAGTTGTATCAACCGTTTACATTCAAGGAAGTTCCGTCAACCTCTCATTCAACTCAAAAGAGTTACGTTAGTTTTTTGTTAAGTTCGTAAGAGCTGCATTAATCTTTCGTTACATTCAAAAACGTTTCGTTAATCTCCGGTCCAATTGGAAAGGGTTACGTTAGTTTTTCGTCAAGATTGAAAGAGTTGTATCAACCTTCCGTTACATTCAAAGAAGTTCCGTGAACCTCTCATTCAATTCAAAAGAGTTCCGCCCAGCTCTCGTCGGATTCAAGCATCCGTTGAAATTCCGAATTTCAGTTACCTTCCACGTTCCACGGACGCGGCTCCGATTCTCGACCGATTCCATGAAAAATACAAAAGGCAACGTGCGCGAGACGTTTCTCCCGGCGCGACCTAGCCTCGTTTCCCCGGCGCTGTTTATGCGCCACATCAACCACGTGCTGCGAAACCGAACGACCGTGAACACGGTGCGCCACAAATTTATTACGATATTATTAGACTCGGTCGTGTCGTCGATAAATATCGACGGCGCACAACACGACACGACACAGCGCGGCACGACACAACCCGGCCAGAATTCGACCGCGCGAATTTACCCCGATATTCCCAGCATGCCCGCCGGGTGCCACGTAATCCCGGTCTTCCACGATCGTCGAATATTTTCCGCCCCTAACCGTTATCAACTCGAGACACAGGGTTCACAGGTGAGCATAGTTCCCAAGTTCCACGGCATAACTTCGCCACTCGATCGTCGAACAAACCTAAACACAGACCGTTCGCTGCAGACTCCCTCGGAACTGTAGAAGAATCAGTCGCGAATCAGAAATTGAATCCGATCGAATCGAGGCGAGACGAGCACGATACACCAGGTTCCCGGTCTTCCGGCCTCGTTATCGAAACCACACTCGAATCCTCTCCGGTTCGATCCACTTAATTACGATCACGGGACAATCCCGTTATCCCGGACCTCCGACCCCAAGACACATCCCTTACACGTCGAAGCACCGACCGCGGCAAAGAGAATCGCGAGAGAGAGCGAAAAGTAACACTGTACCGAGAAATCGATCGTCCAGCGGTGAACGAGGACAAATGAAACTAACCAGGTTTTCCCACTGTGTGTTCGCATTGCAGGTACAAAGCGAATCATTGCGTGAGCGGGGGCGGTAGCCGCGGAAACGGCGCGACTGGCGGTACCGGAGGCGGTCTAGGTAGCGGAGGCGGAGGCCGCGGGGGCGGCGGGGGTGGCG